TAGTAAATTTCTAATAAGTTAACATAATTTTCCTATTTTTTAATCTAATATATAGTCTTATTACATTTTATGTGGTTTTTCATTAACTCGTAACTTTATTTAATATCATTCTCAACTACTTTTCTTTAATAATATAAGATAAATATATAATTTTTTTAATTATAAAATAAATATTTATTTTGTTTTAAAAATATTGCTCGAAAAGTTTAAATTATTTAAAATTTAATAATATTTTTAAGTATTATATATTTACTTTATTTTATTTTCTAAACTTATGATTTATAAATGTCCTTATATTATCTCTAATTTATTTTTATTGTTCAATATTTTTAGTTTTTGATTTTACTATTAGACTTGAGTTATGTGGACTTATATTATGACTTTTCTTATCATAATATAAAAAACTTTCTCATCTCAAATTTATATAAGTTTTACACTTTTTCCTATGATAAAAAATCTTAGTTTTTTTCTATTTATTCTTTATTATTGATTTTATATTATTCAATACCTAATATTATTACATTGTCATGTGAATTTTTATTAGCCTGTTTGAATTTAATATCTATTTTTACCACACTCATTCTAATATTATATAGATAAAAATTAAAATACTTTCTCATCTCAAATTCAACTAATTTTTATCATTCTATTTTCTTAATTGGACCATATTTTCAAAAAATTATGGTATGCTTTCAAACTTAAACTAACTAAACTCAATTCAAATATTAATCATAGAAAAATATTTTCTTAATTATTTGAATACATTATATCTAAATGTTGTAGTAATATTTACGTATAAAATATTCGTTTGCACGATTTATCAATATTAATATGAATTCATTTTTCTTGTTATTAAAATATCGTTTGCTGATTATTTCATTTTTCTCTTACCTTATAATTAATTTGTATACTTTATGTAAGATCTTATTTTGTTGCTTGAATTTATTTAGTTTTTAAACTCAATAAATCTTTAATATCTTAAGTAATTTTTAGTTTTATTTTATATTTTAACTTACTCCAAAGTATAAATAGTCATAGGCTATCTCAATTTACGTCTTTATATTTTTTTTTCTATTATAGTTTTTAATTAATTTTTAACCTCCATATTTCTAGCTAACATAGAAGAAAATCTATGAGTGGATCAATACATAGATATAAATATTGATACAAATATACATATAAATTTAAATATAGATATATATATTAGATTTGTCTAGATTTATTTAGATTATGTATAAGATTCATTAAACTACCTCCATTAATTATGTTTCTATATATAATTTTTGGTTATTAATGTTGTCCTAAAATTTCTAAGTAACTTCATTTTAGCTTGTCACTTGGCTTAATCACAATGCATACTACTCTCCTTTTAATATAACTAATATTAGTACCCGCGCGATGCGCCGACAAATCATTTCAAATTGCAATGTATGTTGTTTGAATCATGTACAAATAACCTTAAAATATATATCTCTCGGATAAAAATTATATAACATGAGAATTTAATTATGAAGCAGGATATGAAATTATTTATCAAATATCGTAGTAGACAACCAATCATTTTAACATATATTTGTAGCAACGTAACCCCTTGATTTTAGTACTTTCATTTCGTTCCGTTGTCGATATTAAAGAATACTAAACATGTCATATTGTGATTTGTCTTGTTCGAGCACATTGGATCATATTATTTTAATAAAATTCTAACAATCACTTTATTTTTATCAGGAAGTCAAATATGTCTTATTCATCACATCATTTTTACGTAAATTTTTTTTTTGGTTCTTTTCTTATAGTTATTGTATTGTTTAATATTTCATATTATTATACCATCATATAATTTTTTGTTAGCTTATAATTAAATTAATGTCTTGCTTTTTATCCTTTTAATAGTATGTGATAAAAATAAATGTTTTATTCTCGAAATTTGATATATTTTTATGCTTTTATCCTCTTATTCATAATACTTTAATCATTTAATTTTTTCAGTAATATTTTTAAATATAATTAATTATTTTATTTTATCTATATTAAAATTAATTTAAAGTATACGTATCCTCACATTACCTCTAATTTCTTTTTAATATACATTCTCTTTCCTACTATAAATGTTATGAACACATTATTTCTAAATATTGTAATAATATTTTTACTATCATTTTAATTCTTTACATAATATTTTTTTAAAAAAAAATTTCATCTCAAACTCAAATGATTGTTATCATTTTATTTTCTAAACTGGACCACATTTTCAAAAAATTATGCTATGCATTCAAACTCAAACTAACTGCACTCAATTCAGATATTAATCATAAGTCTAAAATATTAATACATAAGTGATTTGATTATCATGTTCCAAATGTGTTGAGTTCTCTAATAATTAATTTTGTATTAGATGCAGTTAAATTTTTGTTCTTTTTTAGCTATAAGATAAAATTTAATTTTTAATTTTAATTATTAAGATTACCAATATTAGAAATTTATTTTGTATTTTTAAAAATTTATTTAATCGTAGAGAAAAAATTTCTTAATTTTTTTGATCACATTATTTCTAAATATTGTAATAATATTTTACTATCATTTTAATTCTTACGTAATATTTTCAAAAAAAAATCTCATTTCAAACTCAAATAATTCTTATCATTTTATTTTCTAAACTGGACCGCATTTTCAAATAATTATGCTATGCATTTTTTTTTTTTGGTAATTAAACTTTTTATTTACTAGGGAAAAATATTTACAAGAAATACTAAACCCATACATTTCATCCTGCTCATCTATGTTCCCCTCCCCTCCTTTAACATAAACATATATCTATCAAATACAAGGATACCAATTAAGACTATTCAACCTTGTTTCTATGTATTTGTTGCTTCTGCAATGAATTTCTTGCACAATCTTCTTGCTTAGTTCTTCCCATCCCCTTGATTTTGCCTGAAAGATTCTTATATTTCGTTCTTGCCACACATAGTACACTGTTGCAGCTAGTACCATTTTGAACAGTTTTAACTTTGGATTCCTTTGTTTGGTTATGCGTACAGCCCATATCAGCTCTTGCTCCCATCCTTGTATTTCTTTTCCAACTCTTTGCCAAACTAACATACTGTTCCATAGTGCTTTTGAATATTCACACTCAAAAAAAAGGTGTTGAACACTCTCTTTCTCTGTTATGCAAAGTACACATTCATCCTCTACATGCATACCCCATTTCTTCAGTCTATCCTTCGTGTATAGCTTACCATGAGCCGTCAATATTAGTAGGAAAATCCATCTTGGACTTCCTGCATTCTAGAATACTACTTTTTTCCATCTCACCTTTTCAAATGTACCCCGCAGCCTGTGATATATTTCTTTGATACTGCACTTCTTGGTTCTCTTAATATCTTCATAGTTGAGTCCTGCCTTAACAAGTGTTTCATGTGCTTTTAGTATATTTCCCACCATCCATGATGCTTGCTTCACCTGAATACCCCATACATCTCTTCCTTTAATGTAGTAGCTAAGAATCCATTGGATCCACAACTTATTCTTTTCTCTGCATAGATCCCAGTAGTGTTTGCATATTGCTACCTTATTCCACAGTGTTATATTCATGATGTTAAAACATCCTGTTGTCGTGGGCATGCAAATCTTTTCCCATGCTAGTAGAGCTTTCTTAAACACATTGCTCTCACTTGTCCATAGGAAACTCCTGCAAATATCCTCTATTAGCTTTGTAATCTTTTTAGGCAACACAAATATTTGTGCCCAGTATGTCTGCACAAAAAATAGGACACTTTTGATAAGTTGTATTCTTCCAGCATAGGATAGAAATCTGGTAGTCTATAATGTTATTCTTCCTGCTATCTTCTCAATCAATGGTTGGCACTATGCTATGGAGATTCTTTTTGTGCTTAGTAGAACTCCTAGATATCTCACAGGTAATTCTCCCTTTTGTATTCCTAGGAAGCTCAATATTTCATCTTGTTCCTCTTGTGTAACTCCTCCACAGAATAACGAACTCTTATTCTTGTTGATCTTCAGCCCAGATACTTTTGAGAACTCTTGAAAACCATTAAATAATAGTTGGACTGACTTCAAATCTCCCCTGCAAAACAGTAAAAGATCGTCAACAAACCCAAACTGCAAGATTTGCATCTTTGCACACTTGGGATGGTAGTTAAAGTCTGGATTATTGTTGAGCATTTTTAGCCTTCTTGTCAGGTACTCCATTGCAAGGACAAACAAGTAAGGGGACAGAGGGTCCCCTTGTTTTAAACCTTTTTTTGCTTCAAAGGGTCTTGTTTGAATCCCATTAATTAGAATAGTATATGTGACTGTCCCCATACAACTCATTATCCATCTGACAAACTGTGCTGGGAAGGCTAAGGCATGCAATATTTGTTCCATAAACTCCCACTCTATTGAGTCATATGCTTTCTGCATGTCTAGCTTCATCATACACCTTGGTGATACTCCTTTTCTCCCATACCCTTTAACCAATTCATGGCTCAAGATAATATTATCAGTGATAGCTCTTCCAGGTACAAAGGCATTATGAGTATTATCAACCAAATCATCCATTACACACTGTAGTCTTTTAGTTAATACCTTAGAAATCACCTTGTAAATCACTGTGCATCATGATATGGGCTGAACTCTTTTATACTTGTTGGACTTTTGACTTTAGGGATTAGAGTTATGGAAATACAGTTCACTGGTTTATACATTTGTGCAATATCAAAAAACTCCTTAACAGCTTGTGTCACCTCTTCTCCTATACTTCCCCATGCCCTTTTGAAAAATATAGCATTGAATCCATCATATCCCAGAGCCTTCTGATCATTAATCTCTTCCAATACCTCTCCTATTTCTTCCTTAGTTACCTGTTTGATCAGTTGCATTTGTTGCTCTCTACTTAAGATTGTTCCCATTTTGATTACATTAGGATTAATAGCTGGAATGGAATCATCTTTTGATCCTAGTAGCTTCCTATAGTAGCCTAGGATTTCTGCCTCTATTTCATCATCTAGAACTAGCTGCCTTTCCATATCATCTGTTAACATTTGGATTCTATTTGTATTGTTCCTGTGTTTCATCTGTGCAAAGAAGTAACCTGAATTGGAATCTCCCAGTTTCAGCCATTGCACCCTTGATTTCTGCTTGTAGACATTTTCCTCTATCATCACCCACTTCTCTAAATTATGCTTCAGTACTTTCTCTTTCTCAATTAACTTAGTGTCTTGCATTCTGTTACTCATGTTTTCCTGTACTATTTTCAACTCATTCCTTGCCTCCTTGATTCTTTCTTCAATCCCTTTGTAATGCTTTGTGTTAATTCCTTAACAAGTTCCTTAGTCTTCTTTAATTTATGCCAGACTATTTGCATCTTTCCAGCTTCCCTTCCCTCCTCCAGGCCATTTCAACTTGCTGAATAAAGAGAGGATGGTCTGCAATACAATTTAGAAATCTGAAAGGCCTGCTTTTCTTTGTATGCATCTGTGTGATCATCAACTTTAGAGGTGAATGGTCAGATATTAATGGCTCTAGCACCTGTATTTTCAAACTAGGCATAATCATCATCCAATCTGTATTCACCAGCCCCATGTTTATCCTACTGTATGTATGATTATTAATCCATGTATATTCCCTTCCCACATACTGCAATTCATTCATACCTATATCCATCATATACTCCTTAAAATCTTTCATTTCTATGTCCTGTACTTCTGTTCCACCCTATCTATCTGTTACATGTAGCACAGCATTGTAGTCCCCCATTGCAAGCCAAGGTCCTTGATGGTTGCTATTAATCTGTCTCAACTTCTCCCACATAGCTTTCCTGTCTTTGATGGTATGAAGTCCATATATTGCTGTAAAATTAAAGTTAACTGATTTTCACTTCACTCTAATCTGCCCATGTATAATCTACTCATCTACTTCACTAGGTTCAAATATGTAAATTCTAGGATCCCACATTACCCATATTCTGCCTTTCTGCTTTGTTCTAGCATTAGACACCCATTCCCAACTTGGTGCTATCTTTTTTATAATTTCATTGGCTTTCAGATCTTTGACCCTGTGTTCAACTAATGCAATAACAACTTTATTATTTATTCTTACAAACTCTTTTACTTCTTTCTGCTTGTACATTTTATTCAGCCCTTTAACATTCCAAGTTATAACACTCATACTGGAATGAAATAAGGATGATGATAATACCCCAGAACTCCTTGGCTACTACTCTGACTAGTACCTGCTTCTTCATTCCTTTGGTCAATCATCAAGCTCTGGAATCCATTGTTTTCATCAACACTTTGGCCCTCATATTGCTTAGCTTTGGTTACTCTTGCTGTTGATTTGCCTGCCACTGTGATCCAACCTGCTTCCTTATTTTGCATTTCATTTTTTCCTTGTTCTGGTTCAGTCTTTTGATTGACTGAACTTTCTTTCGTCTGATCATTTTCCTTATTCTCATTTCCTCCTTCTTTATCAGTTCTGACCCATATCATTCTACCCTTGTTAGCCTTCTTCTGCTGCATAGCTGTTGCATTGGCTTCCTATTTTCAGCACAGTCATGTCCTATTTTCAAGCACTTACTACAGTATTTTGGTTCCCAATCATACTCCACCTCATGTACCATTTCCTTCCCTTTAGGATCCTGTAGTTTCACCTGCCTTGGAAGGGGTTTAGTGATGTTCGTTTCTACTAATAATCGAGCAAATGAGATCCTAATTGCTCCAATCGTGCATTCATCAGCATAAATAGGATTACCTAAGGCACTTTCTATTTTGCTTAATGCAGTCATACTCCACCAGTTAATGGGTAAGTTGGGTAACTTAACCCATAATGGAATTTTCTTTAAGACTTCATCATGTAAATTGAAATCCTCCGTCCATACCTTCATGATAATTGGTCGATTATTGATTGTATGTGGCCCTGAGTACAATACTTGGTCCCTTTCCTCAATACTGTTGAATCGTATAATGAAATAATCTTCATTGTGATATTAGATCTGAGGTTTCATTGAGTACTTACCCATTGAATTCACAAATCTGTCCATAGCTCCAATAGTGGAAGATTCTCCTATCACGTATATCACAATGGCACTTTTCCATTTCTCGGTCTCCTGTTCTACATCTTCGACCTCTAACTTCACCATTTTCTCACCATTCTGCACAATTGGGACAATAAATTGTAGATTCATGCCCTTCATAGCCAATTTGTTCCCAACCACCACGTTTGCCCATGTTTTGGTCCTATTTTCATTCTGTTTTTCACCATCTTTAGTTTTCTCTACAGTACCATAATTGCATGGTATTGTTCCATTCGTGTTCTTCTTTGTCCCTTGCTCTTGTCTTCTCGTCCCGTATCCTCTAGCAGTAATCGCCATTGGAGTTGGAGTACTCATTTCTTCCTTCATTTTCCCTTTGCTTCTAGCTAGATCTCCTTCTTCTTTATTTTCCTCTGCTTGCATGTTTCTCGATTTAGGTCTTTCCTCTGGTTCTTCGATTCGTATCCCTTTTGGAGATACGAACAACTCCATCACTGCATTCCTAGTTGCTGAAGAACGCTGCTCATCCGTGGCATTCTTCTGTTGATTCCGCTTAGGTCTTCCCCTCCCTCCCATGGCTTCCAAGCGCAGGTTAGCTAACCACGTTAACTTGCACCGAAAAAGAGAGAGATTATATACCTTATAATTATTTAACAGATTATACTAGTAGATTATTGTAATTATGCTATGCATTCAAAGTCAAACTAAGTGCACTCAATTCAGATATTAATCACAGAAAAATATTTTTAATTGTTTGAACATATTATATCTAAATGTTGTAGTAATGTTTTCACTATCATTTTACTTCTTTACATAATTTTTTTCTTTTTTAGTTTGAAGATACAAATTTAATTTTTGTAAAATTACCTATATTAGAAATTTATTTTATAATTTAAAATTTTATTTTTTATTATTATTATTTTATTTTCATAAATAAGACTTCAATTTCGTGGTATTATTCATAATTTGAGCATTCACATCGTAGTTTTAAGAACTTTCTAATCTTAAATTCAAATAGTCTTTTCTTTTCATTTCTAATAGTAAATTTCTAATAAGTTAACATAATTTTCCTATATTTTTAATCTAATATATAGTCTTATTATGTTTTATGTGACTTTTCATTAACTCATAACTTTATATAATATCATTCTTAACTACTTTTCTTTAATAATATAAGATAAATATATAATTTTTTAATTATAAAATAAATATTTATTTTGTTTCAAAAATATTACTCGAAAAGTTTAAATTATTTAAAATTTAATAATATTTTTAAGTATTGTATATTTACTTTATATTATTTTGTAAACTTATGATTTATAAATGTCCTTACATTATCTCTAATTTATTTTTATTGTTCAATATTTTTAGTTTTATATTTTAATATTATACTTGAGTTATGTGGACTTATATTATAACTTTTCTTATCATAATATAAAAAACTTTCTCATCTCAAATTTAAATAATTTTTATACTTTTTCCTGTGGTAAAAAATCTTAGTTTTTTTTTCTAGTTATTCTTTATTATTGATTTTATATTATTAAATACCTAATATTATTACATTGTCATGTGAAATTTTATTAGCTTGTTTGAATTTAATATCTATTTTTACCACATTCATTCTAATATAATATAGATAAAAATTAAAATACTTTCTAATATCAAATTCAAATAATTTTTATCATTATATTTTCTTAATTGGACCGTATTTTCAAAAAATTATGGTATGCTTTCAAACTTAAACTAACTAAACTCAATTCAAATATTAATCATAGAAAAATATTTTCTTAATTGTTTGAACATATTATATCTAAATGTTGTAGTAATATTTACGTATAAAATATTCGTTTGCACGATTTATCAATATTAATATGAATTTATTTTTCTTGTTATTAAAATATCTTTTGTTGATTATTTAATTTTTCTCTTACCTTATAATTAATTTGTATACTTTATGTAAGATCTTATTTTGCTGCTTGAATTTATTTAGTTTTTAAACTCAATAAATCTTTAATATCTTAAGTAATTTTTAGTTTTATTTTATATTTTAACTTACTCCAAAGTATAAATTGTCATAGGTTATCTCAATTTATGTCTTTATATATATTTTTTTTCTTTATAGTTTTTAATTAATTTTTCACCTCCATATTTCTAGCTAACATAGAAGAAAATCTATGAGTGGATCAATATATAGATATAAATATAGATATAGATATAGATATTGATACAAATATACATATAAATTTAAATATATATATATATATATATATTGTCTAAATCTATTTAGATTATGTATAAGATTCATTAAACTACCTCAATTAATTATGTTTATATATATAATTTCTAATTATTAATGTTGTCCTAAAATTGCCAAGTGACTTCATTTTAGCTTGCCACTTGGCTTAATCACAATGCATACTACTCTCCTTTTAATATAATATAGAATATAGATATAGATATTTATATTGATTATATAGTATATAACAACATTATTAAAGGTACCGGCAGCTGATTGCAGAATTTCGGCAAACGCGGCAGTTCAATAGTAGACTGTGTTATAACTCTGATTTTATTTTGAGAAGCAATTAAACTTTGCCAAATGTCAAAAAGATTTTTTTTTTAAATGAGAGAGGGGATTGACAAAATCGTTCTAATCCAGCAAAGAGTATTTCTTTTTTGTTAAATGATCGAATAATAATGAAGAAGATATGAGAAGAATGTTTAAATAATAATAGAAATCAAAACAGTCAGTTTCATGTGAGGCTAAAAAATACTTGCTGATATCTAAGTAAGCAATATTGAACATAGCATGTGTCATGTGTCGATTTTTTTTTAATTTGTCAAAGCGGGTTTCTTTCGTCTGTTGTTTGGCTTTTGGATTAGGCTTATGGATTATTTTAGGAAAATTTGGTATTGCGGTATGCCTCGGAGCAACGGTGAAGTTGTCTCAGTGTGATTTATAGGTAACGGGTTCGAGCCGTGGAATCAGCCACCATACTTGTATCAGGGTAAGTTGCCTACATCATACCCTTTGAGTACGGCCCTTCATCAGACCCTGCGTGAACGCGAAATATTTTATACACCGAAATACCCTTTTACTGATACTTAAAGCACCGAAATGCCCTTCTCCATTAGGATTGTGGACATTTGATTTGTAATGTGTCAGCATCATTGCTGAGTCAATCAAACCAATAGCTACAAGCAAAAACCTCCTATACTATATAACACCTTCTTCCTCCTTTCCATTCATCATCTTCAAGAAACTATTTATCAACAAAATACAAAGATAGAAGAAAAGCTCAACTTAAAGCCAGAAGTCACGCCTAAAAAAGATGGATTCCAATTCAGTGTCCAAGGTAAGGACTCTTCTCTCCTTTTTGGCCTTTTTCCTCTACCTTTTCCCCCCTCTAGTTCTTTTCTCTCCATTGAAACTATGCACATTTTGTGAACCTTTGGTAACCTTTGGACACTCTGAATTTTTATGTTGTAGGTGTAAAAATTTCTAATTTTTCATGGTACTTTTGTTCTTTCACTTGGTCTAAATCAGCTGGCTAATGTCTTTCAACTTTTGAATTTTCTTTCTTAGTGTTTTATGATTTATGAATCACTTGGGACTATGAGTTATGACATGAATTGTTAGGAACATCCATTATAGAGAGGGAGTGCTGCATTTTTTTGTTGGTGGGGCATCTGTGTTCTTGTTTTCTATTTTTCCTTAATTTGTACAGTAATCTTTCTATTTTCTTAAAAAAAATCTCTCTATCTCTTTCATTCTTTTATTTTTTATTTTTTTTCAAACCATTCCGACTCATTTCCCATGGCACACTCTATTTTTTTTTTACTAAAAGATAAGATTTCTTTGGCTATTTACACAAGGTCAAATTTTACAAAGTTTTTGTTTTCTTTTTTCTACTTATGCATACAAATTTAAAAGAGTGGAAAAAAGGGTGGAGAAGAAATAGATATTGCAACAGTGAAGTGACACCGACCACCCAACACGTGTCCTCCTTTCTAGTACTATCTTGGTCAGACACGTGATTCTTGTTTGTCTGAACCTTTAACATTTGGGCTTCCAATTGGGCTGAGTGAATGATCCACAAAAACGGGCTTGGCCCCATTGCTTTTGTGAAAAAAATTGGTGGTCTACAAGAATGGCCTTGGAAGTGCGTGGTCTTTAGGGGTGTCAAATGGGTAAATGGACGGGTTAGGTCAATTTTGGGCGGGTTAAAATAGATTGAATCAATAATTGGGCGGGTTAAATGATCCGTCCAAAAGTTACTTGGGTTAAGATGGGCTAAAATTTAGGTTATAACCCAACCCGCCCAACTCTTATCAATCTTTAGTTAATATATGTCGTTTTCTTATGAATTGAAACAAAAAGATAAATTTATTTCTAAGATATTTTGTCAAAGTTATTCATAAATCAATTTGGGCTAAAAATCAATCCAGCTTTAAATGGGTAGGGTCAACATAGGTTGAGTTCAATAAATGGGCAGGTCAATAACAATCCTAACCTTAGGCGGGTTGACAGGTCATTTGGGCTTGGGCCAAATTGACAGCCTTAGTGGTCTTGAACTTTTGACCCCGCTCAAAACTTCAAGTTTAATTTTAACTTTTGACCTTGAAGATTTGCCTATTGACAAACATGGGACAAAAGTTCAAGGGCACCTATTTCCAAGATCATTTCATGTAATTTCCTCGGAAAAGATTGTTGTGTTCTCCCAACAAATTAGCTTACTAGACAAAATAGTTTAAGCCGTAACATTCTAAGTTATACAGATTAATCTTTTAAGTTTAAACTTTAGATATTTAGAAATTACACGAAAAGTATTATAAGTAACAAATTTGAAATTTAAAACTTCTCATTTTGCCATTATTGTGCATAATGGCATGACATATAGTTCCAAAATACAAAAATAAATTCTGAGTTTCAAACATTTTCCTGGAAGCACCATATCATCCTTGAATTTATAGTAGTGTCATTATTTGCTAGGACAAGAAGAAAAATGTAATTCATTCAATGCTGCTGTGCTGCAAGCTCTACATATCCGAATCACGCAACAAAGAAGCTCTTGAACCCATTGAGCGTGCTGCGAAACTTGATCCAGAAACAGTCATTATTAACAAATTTCAGGATCGCGATTACAATCGTGTGAACTACACTCTTGTATCATATGTTATTCATGACAGCACAGGCTGCCCTATTTACAGCCCCTTGCATCAAACTGTCGTGGCAATGGTTGCTGCAGCCTATGACGCCATAAATCTTGAGCAGCACTCGGGTGCTCATCCTCGCCTTGGTGTCGTGGATGACATTCTCATTCATCCACTGGCGCGAGCTTCATTGGATGAAGCTGCTTGGCTTGCTAAAAAGGTTGCAGCTGATATTGGAAACCGGTTTCAAGGTTAGTAATGACCTTTTTTTTTTCCTTCAAATGATATGCTATACTGACTCGAAAATGCAAACGAATACAGTCAGAGGCAAATCTGGGGTAGGTTCTGTAGGTTCTGCTTAACCTGTCGCTTTAGACTGAAACTATGTGTATATATGAAGGAACATTAAATGTATAATAATAAGATCACACTCATTCTTGACCACTGACTTTAAATTCTTGATTCACCTCTGAATATAGTACCTGTTTATTTATATGCTGCTGCTCACCCAATGGGGAAAGCTTTGGACACAATCAGGAGGGAGCTAGGCTATTACCGGCCTAACTTCAGGGGCATCCAATGGGCAGGATGGGCTCAACCAGAGCAGGTTCCGGTTAAACCTGATGAAGGACCAGAAGTAGTGTCTCGAGCTAGAGGGGTCGTGATGATTGGAGCTCATCAATGGGTAGCCATGTACAACATTCCAATTATGTCGACTGATCTCTCAGCTGCTAGACGGATTGCTCAGAGGGTAAGTGCTCGAGGTGGAGGCCTACCCACCGTGCAAACTTTAGGCCTGTTTCACGGTGAGGACTCAACTGAGATAGCTTGCATTCTGCTGGAACCAAACCAAATTGGAGCTGATCGCGTCCAGAACCATGTTGAGACACTGGCATCTCAAGAAGGCTTGGATACAGAGAAGGGGTATTTTACTGATTTGTCTCCTGAAATGATCATTGAAAGATATATGAAATTAATTTCTAATTCGGACTGATTTATCTGTGTAAGCTGTGAATAAACTTACTCACTCTTGCTTTAAGCTTCTGTCAATAATGGAAATCAACTCACCCATTTTTTCCTTTCATTCCAGATGCTATCTGAATGGATCTGAAACTGCATCTTGGCATATCATTACTTGCTGAGTGTAATAATACTGCAAAATAGAATAGTCGTCACTTTCTAATGGTTAATTTTTGTAAAAATAGCACGGGCTAGCCAGTTTTCGGACTGGTCATTCAAAAATAGCCAGCGTTTGCAAAGTCATTGAAAAATAGCCACTATTTTGCTGCAACAGGGACCGGTCTGTTGAAGTTTGGCAAAATGCCAAAGTCCCACATTGGTTGGGAGTTAAGTTTGGGGGGGATTTTTCCCCTATAAAAGAAGGCCTAATGTTTAGGATTGAAACACACCTCTCATTTGCCTTCTCATCTGTTTAAGGCATTTGTATCTTCTCTCTTTAGTATTATTTCACTTGTATTTTTGGAGTGAAATAAAATATTGGTTGTGTCCGAGGAGTAGGCAAAATTAGCCGAACCTCGTAAATTCTGGTGTTCCCTTTATTGTTGCTTTATTGTCTTATTTATTATTTGGTGGCTGTCATAATTTTTGGTATAGTAGTTGTGACTTATTCACACTATATACATTTGGCTTCCGCAACAATTGGTATCAGAGCCAAGGTACTGTCTAAGTATGCTCTGTGGTTGCAGCATAGTCTGATCTTCCACATCAGAAAAGATTTATCTTGGTAACTGAGTCAAGGTTCTGTCTGAGTATGCTCTGTGGTTGCAGCTTAGTCTGATCTTCCACACCAGAAAGGAAATAATCTTGATTTGTGTCGTCAGCTATTAAATAATATTTGTGTCAAAGATGGGAGACAATAAACAAGAAGAATCTACATCAAGTGTCAACAATACGTCATCATTGGCATCTTCGCTTATGACAAGAATTGTGTCAAATGCGAAATTTGCGGTAGAAATATTTGACGGGTCCGGACATTTTGGGATGTGGCAAGGCGAGGTTCTAGATGTCCTTTTTCAACAAGGGCTAGATCTGGCCATTGAAGAAAAGAAACCAGATGTTATTGGAGAAGAAGATTGGAGAATTATCAACCGTGTTGCTTGCGGTACCATTCGATCCTACCTTGCTAGAGAGCAGAAATATCCATACACAAAGGAAACTTCTGCAAGTAAATTATGGAAAGCACTGGAGGATAAATTTTTGAAGAAAAACAGTCAAAATAAATTGTACATGAAGAAGAGACTGTTTCACTTCACCTATGTTCCTGGTACCACGATGAATGAACATATCACCAGTTTCAATAAGTTGGTCACAGATTTGCAAAATATGGATACAACTTATGATGATGGTGACTTGGCCTTGATGTTGTTGGCGTCACTTCCTGATGAGTACGAGCACCTTGAAACTACTCTACTCCATGGAAATGACGAAGTTTCTCTCAGAGAAGTTTGTTCGGCTTTGTACAGCTATGAACAAAGAAAGCGAGAAAAACAGAAGGGCGGAGAAGGAGAAGCACTATTTGTGAGGGGTCGTCCTCAAAATCAAACGAGGACAAAGAAGGGAAGATCCAAGTCAAGATCCAGACCCAGCAAAGATGAATGTGCCTTTTGTCGAGAAAAAGGGCACTGGAAGAAAGACTGTCCGAAGTTGAAGAATAAGGCCAAACATAACAATGGAAAGGCCATTATGGATTCAAATGTAGCTGATTGTGATGATTCAGACTTCTCATTAGTTACAACAGAGTCATCAACATCATCAGACATATGGTTGATGGACTCGGCTTGTAGCTATCATATGTGTCCCAACAGGGACTGGTTCGTGGAATTTCAAGAAGGAGAATATGGAGTCATCCACACAGCGGATAACAGCCCTCTTACCTCATATGGCATTGGTTCAATACGATTAAGGAACCATGATGGAATGATCAGAACATTGATAGATGTTCGATATGTACCGGATTTGAAGAAGAATCTCATCTCTGTGGGAGCCCTAGAATCAAAAGGGTTCAAAATCATTGCAGAAAATGGAGTGATGAGAGTATGCTCCGGTGCACTAGTGGTAATGAAGGCTAATCGGAAGAATAATAATATGTACCGCTATCGTGGCAGTACAGTTATTGGGACAGCGACAGTGACATCCAGTGACGACAAAGAGGCAGAAGCAACCAAGCTATGGCACATGCGCTTGGGACATGCTGGAGGAAAATCCTTGAAAACTCTATCAGATCAAGGATTGTTAAAAGGAGTAAAGGCTTGCAACTTGGAGTTTTGTGAGCATTGTGTCAAAGGGAAACAGACAAGGGTTAAATTTGGTACAGCGATCCATAATACTAAAGGCATTTTGGATTATGTACACTCTGATGTTTGGGGTCCTTCCAAAACACCTTCATTGGGTGGGAAGCACTATTTTGTAACCTTTGTTGATGATTTTTCTCGAAGAGTGTGGGTGTATACAATGAAAAACAAAGATGAAGTGCTGGGAATTTTTCTCAAATGGAAGACGATGGTGGAGAATCAAACAGGCAGGAGGATCAAGTGTATTCGCACAGACAATGGAGGTGAATACAAAAATGATCATTTCAATAAGGTCTGTGAAAATGATGGCATCGTCCGACACTTCACTGTTAGACATACACCACAACAGAATGGAGTGGCAGAACGTATGAACCGGACCTTGCTGGAGAAGGTACGGTGTATGTTGTCCAATGCTGGCTTGGGCAAAGAATTTTGGGCTGAGGCAATTACATATGCATGCCACCTCATTAATCGTCTACCATCTGCTGCTATTGATGGCAAAACACCATTTGAAAAATGGTACGGAAAACCTGCTGTAGATTATAACTCTTTGCACGTGTTTGGCTCAACTGCATATTATCATGTGACGGAGTCAAAATTGGATCCAAGGGCAAAGAAGGCTATTTTTATGGGAATTACTTCTGGAGTCAAAGGATATCGCTTATGGTGTCCTATGACAAAGAAAGTAATATTCAGCAGAGATGTTACCTTTGATGAATTTGCTATGGTAAATAAGGTAACAGAAGATACCAAACAAAATGAAGGTGCTTCTAAGCAGGTGGAGTTTGAGGGAAAATTTATTTTTCCTACACAAGAAGCAGAGGAGGAAACAAATGAAGATTACCCTCTGGAAGGAGAGCCAGTAGAGGAGATTCCAACTCAGGAATCTCAACAACAACTTGAATCAATAGCAACCAGCAGGCCAAAAAGAACAATAACGAAACCTGTTCGTCTCATAGAGACGGTTGCTTGTGCAACCTCAATTGTAGCTGATGATGTTCCTACTACTTATAAAGACGCTGTCCAAAGTTCAGAAGAAGATAAGTGGAGGATTGCCATGAATGATGAAATACAGTCCCTTCATCAGAATCATACATGGAGATTGGCCAATCTCCCGAAGGGAAAGAAAGCAATTGGGTGCAAATGGGTATTTGCAAAGAAGGAAGGATTTCCTAACCAAGTAGATGTTCGCTACAAAGCAAGATTGGTGGCCAAAGGATATGCTCAAAAGGAGGGAATTGATTACAATGAAGTGTTTTCTCCAGTTGTAAAACATTCCTCCATTAGAATTATGTTGGCTTTGGTAGCACAATTGGATTTGGAACTAGTTCAGATGGATGTAAAAACTGCGTTTTTACATGGAAACTTGGAGGAGGAAATCTACATGACTCAGCCAGAAGGATTCAAAGTTGCTGGAAAAGAAAATATGGTGTGCAAACTTGAAAAATCGTTGTACGGATTGAAACAATCTTCTAGACAATGGTACAAGCGATTTGACGAGTTTATGTTGCGGCAAGGGTACAAGAGAAGCAAATACGATCATTGTGTGTATTTGCACAAGCTTAAAGATGGTTCCTTTGTATATCTTCTCCTATATGTTGATGATATGTTGATAGCTTCCAAGAATTCGGAAGAAATTGATAAGTTGAAGATTCAACTGAAGAAGGAGTTCGAGATGAAGGATTTGGGTGAGGCAAAGAAAATTCTTGGCATGGAGATAATTAGAGATAGACGTTCAAAGAAACTCTGTTTATCTCAAAAGGAATATTTGAAGAGAGTACTTCAACGTTTTGGCATAGATGACAAGACTAAGCCAGTTAGTACTCCACTTGCTTCCCATTTTAAGCTAAGTACTACTATGTCGCCAATGGATGAAGCTGAACGAGAGTATATGTCAAAGGTACCATACGCAAATGTTGTTGGTAGCTTGATGTATGCAATGGTTTGCACAAGGCCTGACATTTCACAAGCTGTTGGAGTTATTAGCAGATATATGCACAATCCAGGGAAGGAGCATTGGCAAGCTGTGAAGTGGATTCTACGGTATATTCATAATACTGTAGATGTCGGGTTAGTTTTTGAGCAGGAAGACAATCAGTCTGTAGTTGGATATTGTGACTCAGATTTTGCGGGTGATATGGACAAACGAAGATCAACTACTGGTTATGTGTTTACTTTTGCAAAGGCACCAGTTAGTTGGAAGTCTACTTTGCAGTCAACAGTTGCTTTGTCTACAACAGAGGCAGAGTACATGGCTATTACAGATGCTGTGAAAGAGGCAATTTGGCTTCAAGGATTGCTAAAGGAGCTTGGTGTTGAACAAAAAGGTATCACAATTTTTTGTGATAGTCAAAGTGCTATTCAATTAGCGAAGAACCAAGTTTATCATGCAAGGACGAAGCACATTGATGTTCGGTATCATTTCGTACGAGAAATCATAGAAGAAGGTGGAGTCACGGTGAAGAAAATTCATACTACAGAGAATCCTGCTGATATGCTGACAAAGGTGGTGACTGCGGTCAAGTTTCAACATTGTTTGGATTTGATCAACATTGTTGAACACTGAAGATTGAAGATGAAGACACAACCAAAATTTGTTATTGAGAGAGAATTGAAAATGTGGAATTTTGCCAAGGTGGAGATTTGTTGAAGTTTGGCAAAATGCCAAAGTCCCACATTGGTTGGGAGTTAAGTTTGGGGGGGATTTTTCCCCTATAAAAGAAGGTCTAATGTTTAGGATTGAAACACACCTCTCATTTGCCTTCTCATCTGT